GAAAAAAAAATTTCTTTTTTTCTTCCTTTTTAGTCATTGTGAGGATAGACAACGAAATGTATGGATGATAATTGCACCAGTTGTTCAGTAATTCGTTTTTTTGTGTTTCTACAAAGAAAAAAAATTATTGAATTTTTGAGTTGAAATGTTTTGTTTTTTTTTTTTCAGAACAAAAAAAAAATTTTTTTTTAATTAAAACAGAAAGAAAAGAAGATGGAAAACAGTTTGTTGTGTTGCTGGTGAAATTCATAAATTAGATTCCATTTTTATCTTTAAGTTGTTTTTTTTGTTTTCCTAACAGAATAGAAAGTAGCTTTTTGCTTTTCTTTGGTAGAAGAAATATTAGTATCAATAAGGCTGAGATGTGTTGTATACTAATGGGATAGTGTATAACTCTTTATTTTGCCGGTACAGCACCGTCGATCAGGGAAGCTGGCAGAAAGAAGATTGTCATCCGAGCTTCAACATCGGAACTGCTGCATGGTCTTGGAATATTCTTAACTAAACGATGTAAGGTGAAAAACTTTGAGCCTGCGCACCTTGTTATGTGGCTAAGAACTGTTGATCGATCATTGTTGTTACAGGTGATATGCAAATTCTTTAGTTTTTTGTTTTTTTGGCTGTATACTTACAGCTTTCATATTTTAGTGTATTTAGTGGATTAACTGCTGACCTTCATTATAAAACGGTTGAGGAGACAAAACGAAAGAACAAGTTCTTGTCGTTGTATTAATCCACAGTAACTGAAATTTGATTCGTTACTAATCTACCTACAGAAAACGGATGATGACAAAAAAATTTTTAATATATTTCTTCTATTACAAAAAGTTTTAATTACATTTAGTATGAGAGAAAAAAATTCTTTTAATGAATTTTAACTGGTGAATTTGTTCTTGTCTGGTTTCACCAAGCGAGTGAAGAAGAAAGTTTGAGTGTATTTGAATAAAACGGGGACAAAAGAGGCCTATTACTGGTGCTGCCGAAAGGCGAAAAACAAAGAATGCCAAATTTTTCATAGCATTAAACTGACGAGATCGAACTGAACGTGATTAGTCTAAGATGAATCAGTTAAGTGCAAGCAACAGCGACAACGGCGGTAGCATTACGTGCATAAGTTGGTGATGCCAATGGGGAGACGAATGGCATTGACTGACGTCATCGGGGCTTAAACTAACGCTGTTCATAAGATAAAACTAAGTCAAATAGCCAAAAAAAACTAGTTTTTCTATTCTTTTTTTTTGCGTGTATCGGCCCAACAGCACATTTGCTGTCTTTAGAATAGAGTGAAAACTGGAACAACAACTTTACTTTTTTCTACTGCTTACGTGTAAAGAAAAAAAAAAACGGGAAGAGTATGTTGGAAATTTGATTAGCTAACTATTTAAAAAACTAAATTTTATACATGTTACCA